TTATTATAATTGTACTATAAAGGAGCCCAAAACCCTAAGCAATACAGAAGCCTACTATAATTGTACTTTGGAAAGGAGCCACCCTAATTATCAAGGCCCCTACAAGAACTTTCAAGGCGAGACTGCTGCAGCTTAGTTCTCTGTGGAACTCGGCTACTTGGGTCATGGGACCTAACTAGTCCTAAACCCTAAACCCTAAACCCTAAACCGCGTACCTTAAGTGGAGTTAGAAGTACTTCGAACTATACTTACCATTGTTGACACAAGATGCTAAGTTTGCTAGGTCCCCATGATCCCTTCAAGTATACCCAGGCCCTTTATGGATACCTCTTAGGGTTTAGGGTTTAAGGGTTTAGGGGTTTCGGGTTTAGGGGTTTAGGGTTTCAGGGTTTAGGGTTTAGGGTTTATTAGGGTTTAGGCCCTTGCATCAAGTTGTAGGATTGAGGCACCTCTTCCACCTTTCCGCGTTTGTCGTCGGCGGGCCCAGGGCCAGGAACACCCAATCCGAAACAACATGCGGGTTTCATAAGGGTTTACATATGGGTGGTGCTCTGAAATACGCTCCCGTTTTAGGTCCCCAATATAGTACCTCACCCTGATAATAAGGACCCTATTTAAGAAAACTACCCATATGGGGATTTATAAGCCGTTTCATGAGGATTTGTCTTACAAGAGTTTATAGCTTTCGATGCGGCTTTGTTGTTGCTAGGCGTTTGTGAGACACCAATGCCCGGCTGCCCAGAGACGCCCTCGCTTTAGGTCCTCGTGGAAGCCAGTTTTAGGGTGGCATAGGGTTTAGGGTTTAGGGTTTAGGGTCAAGGGGTGGTATAGGGTTTTCGTGGAGGCCCTTCAGTAGTTAGACCGGTTGTCGGGTATATAATCATGGTATGGGGGAGATTAAGCTCATTAAGCCATGCACCTCAGGCACCCTGTGCCGCGACTACATCGTCGATGAAACCTACGACCACGTCTTTAGGTCTTCTGTGTATCGTGCAGCGGCAGCAGACTGGAACTAGGTTTTGAGTATAAGGCATGTTGTTGAGAGGACTTTCGTGGGCTCAGAGGTTTGAGGACCTTTTGAGGGTTTATGGGGCACAGGACGTTTCAGTTTGGGATGGAGCTGTGAAGCTTCGAATGCTTCTGCTCGCCAGGTTACTACGGCACCTTCACGCGCACGTTTCTCACCATGTTTGAGATCTTGTTCGCAAATTGGAGTCCACCTGCGCGAGTGCTCGTGGAGAACTTCAGCGGCTCGCCAAAAGGGCGAGAACCCGTAACGCCGTAACGCTTAAAGCCATACTAAACCCTAACCCCTAACCCCTAAACCTTAAACCCTAAACCCTAGAGCTGCAATGCTGTGTAGTCAGTGTAGTCCCCAGCCCGGCGAGGACCTAACATATGACACCCTTAACTTAATCATTGAAAGACAAGGTGTGGAGCTTCTCCTCGAGTCAGTTGCAAGCATGTTCGTTGTTCTTTGCAGGGTTTAGGGTTTAGGGTTTAGGATTTAGGGCCCAGCGGATCTGGTTGTCTTCCGGACTTATGACAGCAGCTGAGGCGAGTGGTTCTCGATTTTCTTTCTCATCTACAGGTGCGTCCTGGGGTTCGCCGTGCTTCTTGGACGATGTTCATTAGTACGTAGTATATCTGTCCTGTCGGTTCCCATAATAAGGAATGTACCGGACTATAACTCCCATAGTTTAGGGTCCTTCAGGCAATGCAGGATTTCTATCATCAACAGTAATATCTGTCCTGTCGGTTCCCATCCCCTAAGCCTTAAGCCCTAAGCCCTAAGGCCCTAGGCCTAAGCCCTAAACCTTAAACCCCCAAGCCCTAAGCCCTGAACCCGTGATGAAGTTGCATGGCCCGGCTTGGAAGTCTAAACCCTAAGCCCCATTAAACCCCTAAACCCCTAAACCCTAAACCCGTAAACCCCTAAAGCCTAAACCCCTAAAACCCTAAACCCTCAATGCCTAAACCCTAAACCCCTAAACCCCTAAACCCCTAAAGACGTAAACCCCGGGCCCCACAGCCCGAGCCTGAAACCGTAGGCCCCGAACCTCCAACGCGGCAGAGGCTGAATGTCGTGAATGCGGTTTTCGTGCAGCAGACGATGAAGACGGCCAGCTCAGATGAAGATCTTGCATTCAAGCAGAAGGAGAAAGATGTGGTCCCGGCAGAACGGGTTCAGAGTTGAGGGTTCAGGGTTCTCAGGGTTGTCTGAGGGTTTCGGGATCCTCGGTTTAGGGTTCAGGGTTTAGGGTTTTAGGGTTTCGGGTTTCGGGTTTAAGGAGCTTTTCCTTGCAGCTTGTGTAAGGCCGGGTCTCCAGGCCAGCGGCCAAAAAAAAAAAATCGGAGTCGAAGGTTCAGGGTTCAGGGCCTACCTGCTCCTTACGCCATGCCTTGGGGTTTAGGGTTTAGGGTTTAGGGTTTAGGGTTGACTTCATTCTGGGGCCAGTTTTTGTGCAAGAGACAACGTGCTGTCGATGTTTCTCGCCATCGAAGGTGGCCATGTACACTCGCAAAGTGAAGAAGCTCTTCCAGACGATTGATGTATCGGGAGACGGCACTATCAACATCGAAGAGTTCGCCAAGCTGGTTCAATCACCAAAGATGAAGTTCTGGATGAGTCAATTGGAGTGACTCCGCTCAAACAGGACGTGCAAACCCTAAACCCTAAACCTCGACAGTGTGCTTTTTTCATCGAGTCGCCTTCGCCTTCAGGGTCGTTTCTGGGCAGCGTTACTATGCTGCCCTCTCTGCGTTTTGCTCTTCTCTCTTCTTCTCTGAACGACGAGGCTGGAGTACCACGACTTGCTCAGCCTCTTCGAATTCTTAGACAACGGGGATGGAGTTGCCAAGCCGCAGTAGGAGCGAATAGGAGTCTTAGCCATGTCAACCTGGCAGGCGGCCATGTTGCGGCCGTTGAGTGTTGCTTTCGAACTCAGCTGTTATGCTCCATGACAGCCAAGGAGATTACTCTCATGGAGTTTATTGAAGGTGGGGAAGACCGGGGTTCAGCATTCGTCGCGCTTTCTACTTAAGACTCGCATTTTGCGATACTTGATCAACGGGTGAGCTGACCAACCCTCCGCCTCAAACCATAAAGCCTAAACCTAAACGCTTTGTGCGCCGTAAACCCCAGCATCACACATGACGAGACTGCCACACCTAGGGTCATATCATATGCTCGACTGTAGGCGGAATATAATAAGGGTTTAGCTGACTCACCGTGAGTTACCCTTACTTGAATATCATGAGGCTACCGGTATTGCTCAGGGGCTTTTGGTTTGTCTCAGGTCTTTCAAGCCAGGATTCCTTCCTGCATCTTGGAGGGGGGGGGGTAGAATTGTGAGGTCGGAGCATGTCGTATTCATGATATTAATATTTATATTGATACATATATATACATATATATATATACACATGTAGATACATACATATGTATGTATACATTTATACACATGTGTATGCATATATATCTATATACATATGTTTGTTTGTGTGTATTCCCTCAAACAAGTAGAACACATTCCCACCTTTTGTTAGTTTTTTGCGGTAAACAATGACCTGTTCTACTTGTTAAAGCACCTATTTTAGGGTCTCGTCTAACTTCCAGAGCTGACGCCTACCAAAAGGCAAACGGAACCTGACTTGACCCTGGGCTGGTGCAGGGTTTCGGGTTTAGGGTTTAGGGTTATGTAGGGAGCTGGGTTGGGGTGTTCCGAGCTTCTCTTGCCGGGCTTGGCGTTGAGGGTTGAGCGTGCGATGCAACATCACAGGCTCAACAGATAGTAATGCTGCGTTTGAGTATTCGAACATAAACACAAGAGACAGCCCCGTCTCGGGGTCTAGCGGAAACCCTAGGCCCTAAACCCCTAGACCCCTAAACCCCTAAACTCTGAACCCCTAAACCCTAAACTCCCGAATCCTAAATAAACTCCTTGTGAATCCTTGTGAATTTCGCCTCTTTTCCAGGGCCTGTATCCTGAACGACATGCTTGTAGGGAAGGGTATCTGCAAGGTCATGTTCAGTCTCTGATGCATGTGTCTTGACTCTGAAGTGAATGCACCTTAGGCTCAGATCGGAAAAAGACTGCATTCGACGTCGCTGTGATCCCGTCCCAAACCCCTGAACCCTGGACACACAAACCCCTAACCCCTAAACCCTAAACCCCTAAACCCCTAAACCCTTAAAATCCCCTAGACTCCTCATTAAACCGTAAACCCCAAAACCCTAAGCCTCTACACCTCAGAGGAGCGTCACGCCTGCGTGGCGGCGCAAAAGCCTTGGATGTGTGGCGATTGGAGACAAAGCTGGAGGCTCGCTAGGGTTCAGGGTTTAGGGTTTGGGGTGTAGGGTTTAGGGCTTAGAGTTTCAAAGTTTCAGGGTTTGGGGGGGTGGGGGGGGGAATTTTACGCCAAATTGGGCTATCTGGCGGCTCAATGGGAGATTCAGCAAGAGTTCCCCAGCCCTGAAAGAGCCTTAGCTCCCTAACCCCGAACCCTGCACCTCGGACACCGGCCCCGGGTTTAGGGTTTACTTACCTTTGGTTAGTAGGGAATGGAGGAATGGGAACTATTATAAGTACCATTACTACCATTCTTCCATTCCCTACTAACCAAAGGTAGGTTTAGGGTTTAGCGCGTTTACGGTTTAGGGTTGAGAGGTTTGGGGTTCACTCTGCAGGGGGCTTCTGGGATTTAGAGCCGAGGATTCATGCATCGGGCTTGCCAAGAACACGAAGATTTATGCAGAAACCCTAAACCCTAAAACCCTAAACCCGAAGCCCTAAACCCTGGGACCTTAAACCCTAGTCCTTAACCCTAAACCCTATAATCCGTAAACCCTAGGCCCTAAACCCTAAATCCTAAACCCTAAACCCTAATCCTTAAGCCCTAAAGCCTATACTCCTTAAGCCCGAATCCTGAAACCCCTAAACCCCTAAATCGCAGGTGCTGTTCGAGGAGGTTCTGGGTTCGATCCGGGTGGGCTCGCCAAGCTTCACGCTGAACGTGAACGGCGGTGGCGAAGAGCAGCAGGTGGAGTTTTCTGTTTTTTGGCTTTTCATATTTTTTCGGGTTTAGTGCTTAAGGCCGAAAAAACCCCTTAAACTCCAAAGTTTAGGGCTTGTGGGTTTCATGTTCATTTGAGGGTTTCGAGGCTTGGGCTTAGGTTCTAGGGATACGCTTGGGCTCTGCGCCCTTTTGCTTCCGAGGCTTTGGGCATGGGTGTGTAGGGCGTAGGAGTTACTTGGGTTTGAGGTTTGGGTCGGAAGGTGGGGTTTTCAGAGTGTCAGGGTTTAGGGTTTAGGTTTTGGGTTTGGGGTTGAAGGTTTAGGGTTTAATTTAAGGTTTAGGGTTTTGGGGTTAGGGTTTAGGGTTCAGAGTTTGGGATTCAGGGCTTAGGCGGGGTCGGTCCTTTCAGGTGGAATGTCAGTCCAAGGATTTCGGCCCCAAAGGTCATTGAGCACTCTGGTGTATAGGATTCACGGTTTAGAGATTCGCGCCCAAGAGCACAAAAGAGTCTTCAAGGATCAGGCGGGGCGGCGATGGGCGAGGATCACAGGGACACCGGCGCCACAGGCACCCACCCAAAGCCCATCAAAAGCCACTAAACCCGAAGCCCTAAACCCTAAACCCTAAACCCTAGAACCCTAAACCCGAAACCCTAAGCCCTATACCCTAAAACCCTAAAACCCTAAAACCCTAAACCCTAAGCCCCAAGCAGAAACAGCCTGAAGCCAGGTCGTGCCCACGGTCTCCAACAACGTGCAACAGGCCTTCGAGAAGTCGAAGCTTCTCCTCTGCAGACAGAGCCCGGTTTAGGGTTTAGGGGTTTAGAGTTTAGGGTTTAGGCTTCTTTTTATCATCCCTCGGGCCCACAGATGCTCATCCCGAAACTGCCCGAAACCTAAAGCCGTAAAGCCCTAAACCCTAAACCACCTTAAACCCCAAAACCCTAAACCCCCCCTAAACCCCTAAACCCTAAACCCCTAAGCCCTAAGCCCTAAAACCTAAAGCCTAAACTCTAAAGCCCTAGAAGCCCGAACTTCACAAGTTCCATGTCCGAAGTGCTCTCATCTGGCTCGCTTCTCGCTGCCGCGGTCCTCTTGCGCTCGTACATGCCCTCCTGCATGCCTCTTGCGACTCACGTGTGTGTGTGTGTCCGTCAGGGCTCCTGACTATGTTCATGGAATTCTCGTATCATATGGGCAGTTCTCTAAAGTAGGGTCCCTTTTTAGGGTCCTTGTTATAAGGGTGCCGTACTGTATGTACTCATGCTGATTCCAGGCTTGGTTTTCTTTGCCTCTAAATTTGAGCTGAGACGGTTGTGTGTGTACAGAAAACAGGTACAGGTCGGCTAAGTGTAGTTCTGCATACCAACAGATGGTCCACGGAGGCCCGCGTACCGTTCATGAATATCTATATATATCCACACATACATACTACATCCATCCATCCACCCATCCATCCGTCCAGCCAGCCAGCCATCCAGCCATCCATGCAGGGTAATGCAATGTAATGTAATGAATGTAATGTAATGTAATGTAATGTAATGTAACCTAACGAAAGGTAAGGTAATGTAATGTAATGTGCATACGTACGTATGTGTGTATGTTCGTATGTAGGCATACCATTACACATGCACGCCCAGATATGTGCACAAACAAACATATATATATATATATACATACACACACAAATGTATGATTTTCATGGTGCATATACACATACCTCTGTACGTTCCTATGGATGTGCAGACAAATGGATAGACATAGTTCGACTACTGAAGGTAGACGCAAACACACATCTAGCCATATGGACGCACGAGTGCATGTTCTGCCCTTTCATGGTCTTTCTGAGCTTCTGTTCGTCTGTCTGTATGTCTGTCTGTCCGTCGGTCTGTCTGTATGTATCTATGTATTTATGTATCTAAGTATCTATCGAGTGTTTTTTACGAATCACTCTAGCTGAGTGTAGCTCTTTGGATTTTGCGATGTATGATTCAGGGTAGAAGGTCGAGAGGTTTGGGCGGTTTACGGGCTATGGCTTAGCGGTTTCCAGGCATCAAACACACATTGCTCTGAGGTTTCGGCATATCAGGAGTACAGCAGACCGCCGCCTGAACAGCGAGAAGTCCATGACAGTGGAGTAAGTCTGCAGGGCTTGTAGGGCCTGTAGGGTTTAGGGTTTCGGGTTTAGGGTGTAGGGTTTCGGGTTTAGGGTTTAGGGTTGAAGAACCGGTCATTTTCCGCACTTTTGAGTGCTGGCTGGACTGGCATCGCCACGATATCTAGTTCCTTTTGCTGCCGTGGCTACTGTTTCACTTCGCAGAACGTGCGGTCCCTGTGGTGGGCTGGCCAATCCTTTGAGAACTAGTCCCAAATGTGTTCACAATAGTCACACTAGCAATGCTAACAGAGATACTCATAATCATGATACAGCGATGGCACTGCCCCACAAAAGCACTGCTCGCATTCGTAAAGTGCCTGTGAAGACAGGCATTCGTTCAGAGGAGCGACCTGCCAAAACCCTAAACCCTAAATTCCTAATCCTTAAACTCTAGACCCTAAACCCTGCTCCTCAAACTCTAAGCCCTAAACACCCTAAACTCCTCCGCCAAACCTTGCGACTCTTCGGGGCTCTAAACCCCGAACTACCGCTCTTCAGAGAATTTGGCCTGCGGACGGCTTGCGGAGCTACTGTTCCAGCGCCCCTGCGAACGCGAATGTCGATTCGCAACTGGAAATCTGTCATGTTACACCAGGGCGCGTTGTTTAGGCTTTAGGGTCTAGGGTTTCCCTTTATGGTAGATAACCATAGTAATATTCATAGTTGTTGCCGCGTTTTTGAGGTTCGCGTTTTTCAAAGGTATGCATAACCAATAAGGCTATTGTACATGTTACTCAAACCGAAACCCCTGTAACATTTAAGGTGAAACTCGGATCTCCACCAATGTCCCTTGATGCCAGCCTCTGCTTTCCGCAACTATGACGAGACTTCGTATAAGCATGGAGACTTTAACGGTTTAGGGTTTAGGGTCTACGGTTTTGGGGATCTGCATATACGAGTGCCCGTCCACAATCGGTCAATGTAGTACCGCAAACGGGTTAAGGGGTTCGCGCTGAGGACGTATGGGTTTCGTTTTGGGCTTGGGATTGAGAAGCCACCTCTCATGACAGGCGTGAATGGTCGGATCCGTCACAATCCTTATAAAGAGAGCAGGGTCTGCTATACTGGGTTCTTGTTGAGGGATTTTTATTAAAGTTACCATAATGGGGGGGGGATTATACAACAAATATTGTTTCTTGATTATGGTAACTTAAATTAAATCCCTTAACAAGAACCCAGTATACAGGATCTACACTATGTGTCATTACGTGTCTTTTCCACTCGCACCCACCCACGAGGCCCTAAACCCACTTTACACATTAAATGCAAATCTCCTGTAGCCTGAAAAGCCCCCCTGGACAATCTTCTAGAAAACCCCTAAACCCTAAACCCGGAACCCTAAACCCTAGAAGCCATCGTGAAGCTATGAGACAGTTTAAAGCCCTTGGAAGCGTCATCAGTCCGAAGCGCTCTAGAGTCCTAAACCCCCAACCCCAAACTGTAAACCCTAAGCCGCAAGCCCCTAAACCCCCAACCCCAAACCCTAAACCCCAAACCCTAAACCCTCAGCCCTAAACCCAACGCCCCTCTATATACCCTCTGAACGCCCAACAGCTTGGAGCGTCTCTCCCAGGCCACAACGCACCAGGTGCCAGTCGGATGATTGGGGTGCACAGTTTGGGGTTTAGGGTTTAGGGTTTAGGGTTTTGGGTTTAGGGTTTTGGGTTTAGGGTTTTGAGTTTGGGGTTTTGAGTTTAGGGTTTTGGGTTCAGTGGACTCCGCCGCACCCTAAAGCCCCAAACAGTTGGGGGTTCGCAGGTTAGGGGTGGCTCGCATCATGGGGTGTCCTTGGTGCCTGGGTGGGGGGTGCGGTATCTGGTTCTTTCGGGATTCGGGGCTTAACCCTAAAACCTAAACCCTAAACCCGGAGGGGTTTAGGACGGATTCGGGGTACAGTGTGCTGTAGAACATGGGCAAATCCCCAAGCTCTCCCCCCTGCCCTAAACCAATAGAACCAGAAACCCATAAACCCTAAACCCTAAACCCTAAAACCTATCCTGGTAAGGAGTTACTACTCTACCTGCAGTCGGAAAAGGGCCCATAAACAAAAAAGAAAACCCAAAACCTTGAAGCCCCCCTTCAAGCCTTCAAGCCCCAACTCCACCTTAGGGGGGTGATGTCCTGAGCAGGGACCTCGATCCGCAATCGCACCACTGAAGGCCTAAACCCTCAATAGGGTTTATCGTTTAGGGTTTAGGGCTTATAGGGTTTAGGGTTTAGGGTTTATAGGGTTTAGGGTTTCTAGGGTTTAGGGTTTAGGGTTTGGGGCTTCTAGGGTTTAGCGTGTAGGGTCTAGGGTTTAGGGCTTCTAGGGTTTAGGGTTTTAGGGTTTAGGGTTTAGGGCTTTGGGTTTAGCATTCTTCAAACTTCCTGGAGGCTCCTTCGGAGCTGCCTTTTTTGTGTCATTCTTGTTGTTAAAGTTTGAAGGGTCTTTGGGTTTAGGGTTTTAGAAGGTGTAGGGTTTAGGGTTGAGGGTCTAAGGGGCTTGTAGCTGCATTGTTGTAGGGTTTAGGATTCAGGCTTTCAGCTTTAGCTGCGGGCTTTAGATGCTAGGATATACCCTGCGTCGAAAGTGCCAAACTCCATCCAAGCCCTACGCCCCAAAACCCTAAAACCTTACCCTAAACCCTAAACCCTAAACCCTAAAGCTTAAACCCTCAGCACCTAGGTTTAAGCTCCCGAACCCGAACCCGAAGAACCCTAAGCCAACGCCAAGCCCTCGTAGGCCATTCCAACGCTGCCACCACGGGTCTTCGAGGATGCAGGCAAAGCGACAGAAGGAACTGACGCATTGCGTGGATGTCGAGTTTAGGGTTAGGGTTTGGGGGTTTAAGGTTTGGGTTTAATTTAGGGTTTAGTGGTTTCGGGGCTTAGGGGATTAGGGGCTTAGGGGTTTGAGGTTTAGTGCTTGGAGCTTAGGGTTTCGGAGGTGCAAGGTTTGCGGTTTAAGGTTTGGCAGTGTGAGGGTTCAGGAGTTGAGGGTTTAGGGGTGTCGGATTGGTGCAGGACAGGAGACGCATTCCCTCAAACGTCACGTCGAGCTCGTGGGTGCCTACAATGTTTCTACCCTAAACCCTAAACCCTTAACCCTAAACCACCTAAACCCTAAACCCTAAACGTTTCGGTTGTGGATCTAGTGGCCAACTGCTTTTGAGATTCGGACCCCTTATCTATGATTCCAGCCAGGAGCACCATTTGAGACTTTCAAGGGATTAGGGTTTATAGGGTTTAGGGTTTAGGGGTTTAGGTTTTGTAGGGTTCAGGGGTTTAGGGTTTAGGGTTCAGGGTTTAGGGTATAGGGTTCAGGGGTTTAGGGTTTAGGGTTCAGGCCAAATCGCTCACCACACTGTGGAAGGAGCACGACTGGCCCCCCGTGACCTCCGAAGTGCGAGTCCGTCCTACAAAGTGCGCAGGACTGTGGCGGGAGCATGACTACGGCGGGAAGAGCATACGCACGGCACTGGCACGAGCACGGTTTGGAAGTTCGCCAAGTTGATAAGCCTCTTCGAATGCCGATTTCGCGACCACTTGGGGAGGCTCTGTGCCAGGACTTTAACGGCTGCAACTCAAGGCCAACATGCAGCACTATCACAAGAACGCGACTTATTTCTTAGAAAGTGTGCACCGCACCAACATGGGAACGCCGTGCGCTACACAGGGAAACATACCTGGACAGTTACAATCTAATATACCCCAAACTGTACAACTCCGAGTCTTGTCATCAAGGGCCCCACTTAACCTGTAAATGTATTCCAATCATCCAGGCCCTACACCCTAAACCCTAAGCCTTAAAGCCCTAAACCCTGAAGCCCGAAAGCCCGAAACCCTAAACCCCCTATCCTAATAATCCGGACCTCCCCACCCCAGAGTACACGTTGAGCACCAGGCAAGACTGGAGCTTCGCGCAGCAACTGGGAAGAGCGCTGAGCCAAGATTTGCTTTGTGGACTTTCGGGGTCTAGGGCTTGGGGTTTAGGCTTTTGGGGGTTAGGGTTTGAGGTTTAGGGTTTGGGGGTTTAGGATTTCAGGATCGGGTTTCTCGTAGGGTTCTAGAGGTCTGTAAAGGGATCAAAAAAGAAGAGATGTGCGTTTTGGGGATGTAGTATTCTGGGTTTTCAGGGTTTGGGGTTTTAGGATGATGAATTTAGAGGAATTCTATCAAACACTAGCTCGTGCCGCCTAATTCCCGACAACGATCACATGTCGGTTCTGCGATGTCAAGAGCCTAAGTCCCGGGTACTTCTTTGGACCTGGCGGCTCTTGTGCATGAGGTTTTGCTTGAGAGATTATGACTTCAATTGGACTTTGTGTACTGTCACGAGGCTTCGGTTTAGGGTTTAGGTTTATGGTTTAGGGTTGAAGGACAAACCCAACAGCATATTTTGGAACAGCACCTGCGCATGGCTTCTGTCCACTCTTTGCTCCGTCCGAGTCAGCGCTACCTGATCAATGCAGAGGATCCCCCTGTAAATCCTACAAGGCCCCAGGCCGCCGACTTTTGCCGTAAGCCATAGAACAACCAACCTAAGAGATGGTTCTGAACAGTTGGTAATCGTGTCCCGTTATAGTACAACGTATCTAGTGATACGGTTGATGATATAGATCTTTAGCATTACCTTCAGGACCCTAAAGTATCTGGGAATTGTGGCTGCTTTTTCTTATTTCTGGGTAATGCAGGATTTATATCATCAACCGTACTCAATGATCCGCCAAACCCTCTTGGAATTGCATAGTGCCCTCTATGGGACCCTGAGCTGCTGGAGTCGCCTGGCGTCCGTTGAGCTTCAACCGCGAATAGCCCGACATGTTATGATGCCTCCCTAAACCCTAAACCCTAAATCTTAAACCCTAAACCCTAAACCCTAAACCCTAAATCTTAAACCCTAAATCTTAAACCCTAAACCCTGAACCCTAGAGCCGAAGCCCGAAACCCCCAAACCCTAAACCCGAAGCCTTAAACTCTAAACCTTCAACCCCAGACCCG